TGCTAAGCAAATTGCGCCTGTTGAAACATTACGAGTACATAGTAACAAACTAATAAAACAGCCTTGTGTTCGCGCCAACATGGCATGATCTTTGTGTTGCTGCGTTATCATTTTCGTGTGATGCGTAGCGGTGCGTTGCGTATCCATTGTCGACGGCGGCGATGAGCCTCCGTGTGCGACCGGCAGGATACGTAATCGCATGTTCGTTATTGCACTTTTTCAAGTTTTTTTTCGGCTATGTTTAAGTAAAAGTCAAGTTCTTAGTGCCACGAAATTTCGTTAATTTCTCATGTTTTTTAGTTTATTCTGGTGGCACTGAGGCATTCATCTTCATTTTTGGTGTTCGGCTGCCATAGCCTTCGTGGCGAACGTCGTCGGCGCGATCGCTCACTTGCTTTTGCGTGTTCACACAGAAGTTCGTCATTTGTCAGTTTTTGTAAAATTCACGTTTTTTTTTACATTCATCTGGTTGCTTTCATTCGTCGGTCGCACGTACCGGGCTGTGACATTTTTCATTTTGCATCATTTTTAAACATTAAGGTGTACCGTCTTAGGCAATTGTCATCACAGTTCTGGTACGGTCGCGTTGGCAAGAAATCCGCCATCCAACAATTACAGTCACACGATGTGAGTATTGGTCGACCATATTTGTGTTCATTGTTGTACAAAGGCCGACGGGCCTTGCTGTCATAGGCATAGTTAGTATAATATGCATTGTTACCATTTTTTATACATATACATTTTTTTTTACAAATTATTATTATTATTGGTGTGCCGTGGTGTGGGCCACAGTATTATTATTATAATTTATTTTTATCGTATTTATATATATTAACACTGCGGTGTACCGATGTAGGCGAATTAATATTACTATTATTCTCGTTTGATTACTTGCAGTCTAATATTCATTATTTATTTATTATTCATTAATTATTTATTTTTTTTATTATTACAAAATTAAAATTTATTAATTTATTGTTATTTGTCTTCAATTGCCGAATAAGTAAACCCATTATTGTTGGGCATTTGCCACTCCAACATCTTGCTGTGTTGTAAAGAAAAATTCATACGAAATTCGGTTGTTCCTGGTGGTGCTTTTGCCATTCCAACATCCAACACGATATCTTCGAGTCCGTGTCGCGCCTCCTGAACGCCATGCTGCTCATCGTTTTGTGATCTCGGCAATTGGTCAACGATCTGAATTGCTTACAGGTTGAAGGCATAATTTTTCGAAATAAAAACTTGAACATGGTCGGTCATTGAATTTGATAACAGGGCGAAACAAAATGTTACCCGTGTTTGAGCAGTTAAAATATACATTATTTACTACTTGCAATTAATTTGTTATAAATTAATTATATGAAACTGTTTTATTATTTATTTTATGATAGTTATTTATCCATTGATTTGACTGACTGATTAAAGTTAATATATTTAAAAATTCCGTTTTTTTTTTTTTAATTATTAAATATTTAAAATGTTATAATTCAAATTATAAAAATAAATGTATTATTTAATAAAAAAAAAAATTAATGATATAGAAATAAAATTTAAAAATCAGGTTTAATCGGTCTTCAAAAAGGAAATACAACTATTAAATATGCATTCTGCCGCATATTATTATTTGAATGCTGCAGTTGAATTTGTTATAATTAGAGCCCGAAACTCTATGATCTAAAAATTTATAAAAAATGCATAAATATAAAATGATATAAAAATGTTAAAAAAATGTATATTTTACTGTAAAAATTGACGAATATTATGTTTTGATAAGAATTAGAATTTGTAAATTAATCAAATAAAACTATAAATAATTTACTCAAATTAATTTTTTTATAGGTAAACAAATTGTTAGTATACACTACTTTTCATGAAATGTCTGTAATATTTATTAATATACATATTTGAACAATAAGGTATCAATCAGATATTATTTAAGTAATGATTGATTAAGAAATGATAATGTAATAAGATTTTGTTTTGATTTATTTCTATTAGTTAGGTTTCTATTTTTCCTTTTAGTTTTCTATTTTTATAACAAGGGAATAAACACAATTGTATATTAAACAATAAAAATAAGAACTTTTAATGTTGCTTATTAAGCATAAAATGGTACATTACTAAGACATAAAAACGTTCTTACCTCATAAAACAGCCAAATAAAAATAAAATTCAAAATTATATTATTACATAGGTGATTAGGAATATTTATACAATTATTGTATAAACCTATAAATTATCAGTTAACCGAAAGACATCAAATTGGTTTCATCTATAGTGTATGTATATAATAATACATTTACACAGTAATTTGTTATATGAATTAATTATTAAAAATAATACTAAATACTTAACAACATCATAAAATAAAATTTAACTAAACATTCTAGAATTTTATTTTTATTTTTTTAATAGGTTTTTGGCTTCATTGATTCGGTGTAAATTTTATACAGTACACCTATTCCAATAATTCCAACAGTTGTGCCTTGAGCCGCAAGTCGTAGTTGAATAAGGTATAAAGAGGTACTTCCCTTGTGAGATTTGAATTTATAGAGTCCATAACCAGCTACTAATACAAATCCCAATATTCCTAAATATTATACACATTATTAGAAATTCAATTTTAACATTTTAAATTAAACTAAAAAAAAATAATCTACATACCAACTGGATACAGGGGCATTTTTTCAGAAGATTTGTTTAATTTGTTGGTAAATGAATTTTCTTCTTCCATTGTATAAACGGTTTTATCTAAAATAAATAAAAATATGTAAAATGTAATTAATTTATAAAACACAAACCATTAGATACTTTATAAATCCATCACGTACAAGTTTCTACCATTTATACAAGTTATCAGCTTTTCTTATAACATCAATAATTACACAATTAAATTAAACGAATAAAATTAGTTAAGAATCACTTAAAATAAGAAACTAAAAATAATAAAATAAAGTTTCATCAGAAGCTCATAGCACAAGATTTAATTATTTATGGATGTATATCAAACATAATAAATATAAGAATATATTTACTTTTACGATATTTTGCATAAAAGAAATTATTTACATATGACTTAAGATAATTTGCAGTTATTTCTATATTACAACATAATATTAAATATTAAATTATAAAATAATATAATTACAATTTTAATATATTTTCAAATGTAAAATAATGTAATATAGACAAGCAATATAATAATTAATATTTTTAATTTTGTATTCTTATAGACAATTGAATACTATGTTTGAATAAATTAAGTTAGGTTACATATAACAATTGTGACCATAATTCTATTGCTAGTTAAAATTTTTCTTATCTAATTTTTAACATAATTCCAAAGGTAATTTTATTATAATTTGCTTTTATAAGTTTAAATAATTTGACAATATTGTTATGGATACAAAGTACAATCTGTGCAAACAAGATATCTAAATGAAAACTATTGATTCATTTTCATAATTTTATTATTACTATGAGTTTAGCTTCAAGTTGTACAAAACATGAGAAGAAAATTTTAAAATATGTAACACCTTATGTATATTTTCTATAAAAAAAGCTAGAAGTAAATGTCAATCAACATACCACAAACTGTAGCTGATCATTACTAGTTAGTATCTAATATTTTATTGCAAGTGTATAGCATATTCTATGATTATTAAATTAATAAATTATATATTATGATAAACTTATTTATTTTTAGCCACAAAGTAGAAAACATTTAGTTGAAAAATAATTAAATACATTTTAAAATGTCCTAGACAGTGATACAAAAAAATTGTATTGGACTTATAAATACATAAATATAAATGTCTCAATAATAAAAACACAAATCCCAAGTAATTATTAAGGGGGACCATTTTATATTGTGGACATAATACGATATATAAGATTCAAAATGCAATAATTCCCCAAACAATTCTATATTATAAAGAAGGTATTATTGTTTACCATAAATATTTCTTAACACTGTAAAGGAATAAACTTTCAACTAAAAGCTTAAAAAAAAAAAATAGTTAAGTATATAGAAAAGAAAACTTTATTTAAGAACAATAAAAAAAAAAATTAAATATGCAATTAAATGAAAAATTATAGAGTAAATCTAATTTTCTTTTGGTTTTTGAAAACATGTCAATACATAGTTGCTTTTTCTAGGAACTAGAAAATGTAATAAGATAAAAGGGACTATGTGTCATGCTACAATTTAGTAGTAATTTTGCTTTTATGGTTAATGTGTCTCCTTAAACTATTATGATAATAAAATAAATCGTGATTACTTTGCTTAATCTTAATATTTTGTATATATTAAAATTATTTGATCTAAAATAATGATCTCAAAATATATCAAAAGTTTAAAATTAAATATATATTCAGTTTTAATTGGTTAACAATAAAAAAAATTAATAAGCCTTATTGCTTAACATTAAATAAAAATTAACTCATTAGGAATAGCAATTATTTCTATCAAAAAATCATTTTAGATTAGTTTTAAAAACAAATCAATTATTTCATATTGAATTAGTAGATTGAACATATCGATAGGAGAGGAGAAAATAATGTTTATATTATGCAAATATTTGTTAACAAAATAAATAAAAAACATAAATCTCCATTATCCTTACTAATACCTATTAATTGGGTGGTTGATAATTTATTAAATGCTGAACTATAATTGCAATGTATCGAAAGACCCTTGCACAACAGATGAAATATATAGACACAGCTGTAGAAGTGATGTAATTATTACAAATAATAAAAATGTAAAATTAAGCAATTGAAACATATGAATATTGAAAAATTAACTAAAGCACTGAGATAATATTAAAATAAAAGTATAATTCTGTATAATTTATCAGATAAGTATACGAATACAAGAAATGACAAATACTTAAAAATGTTGCCTAGGCATACACAATGAAGTTTTGTACGTAAGGTAAATATTATTATAGCTTAATCTACGAGTAACATTTGAAATAGAGATAAATTAATACCCATTACTAGCTACAGTGATTACCAGGGGCATGCTTCGGGGGAGGATTTGGGTGTTCAAATTCCCCTCGAAATTTCAACGACTATAGGAAGAAGTATTGGTTAATATCTTTATACGGTTTCATATCGTAAACATTCATCAAGGTTATTTATATGATCCATTGTCTATCACATAGATTATATATAGAACTATAAAATTATCACCAGCATTTTTATCCTGTGAAACAAATTAATTTGAAATACGTAGTAGCGAAAATATTGAACCTCCTTCCCGCAAAAAAAAAAAAAAAATGTCCTGATAATGAGTAGGGTGTACCAATAAAACGAATACCCGTAGTCAATCAAAATGTTGCGTTCGATGTACTTACTCGATTGGTTCTACAACGGTCGTGCGAAAATACAGAGAAGGTCGACGGTGCGTTGAGACTAGGAAAATATATTTTTAAGCGGACTAGTTCGTCGTAGCCTCGATGGCTACGTCTGGTGAAGTGGTGAACTTGAAACTCGCGATGGCGACAATCGCGACCGTTACCCGATATTGTGCAAACATTTATATAATAATGATGAAAATACATATCACGACGGTGATAGCGTTAAGGTGGTCAAGTTTTTTATCGCCGAGCAACAGGTTGGCCAACGGCGACTGTCTTTGCTGTGCATTATCGGTCGGGCGAGCTAAGGTCGGTATCGTAATTGTTATTGTAACAATTGAACGCTAAAATATTTGAACATATTAAACATTTTAACCCCACGGTCAATAAATAAATCGAAACGATCGGGAATGGGATTTTAGTTCCGTAGGTTGTTGTTCTTGTTTGATTAGGTGTTTTTATTTTTTTTTCATCCTTATCAATTGCGGAAGACCTGCACTATCACCCGCCTCGTCTTCATCGTCGAAGGGTGCAATCCTCAGGGCGATATCTCATTGATGTACCGTGGCAGCCCAACAAGTTGAAGTCGTGCGGGGTACGAGAAGTGAATATCCTTACAGCCACGCCATCCATCCTGTTCCGTTCAACTAGATTTAATGGGATCAACGGATTGTTGCGTTTAAAACGGACTTCGGTCGGGATTCAAGGACAAAAACGTAATTTGAAATTAAAACAATTTTGAAGCCCGTCGCTGGTTGCTTTCGATTTTTGTATAGGTACCCTATTGAGTTTGACCTATTAGGTAACTGCTCCTCCAATGTCCTCGTTATCAAATGTATTAATTCTCCATTACAATGGGTTCATGACTAAAAACTTTGGTTTTCAGCTGTGATAGACAATCATCGCCAAATGTCACTGTTCCATTTAAGTGTCTCTTAACTGTTTCTGTTTGACTCATGCATCATGTCTGTGGAGAAAGAAGAATGTGAACTCGAACAACTGGTGTCTTCCGATGAGGAGCCCAGACCGCCTGCGGATAATTCACATATTACTCCTCCCATTACACCTAAGCCACCACCTAGAGCACATTCTCATATAGACAGTCGGACTAAGACAAGTGGTTCGAGCAACAAGGTTTTTAATGTTTTATAATCCTATAACTATTGTCTTTAATACCACTTTTATCTGTTTTAAAATCTAGTCGCATTCTGTTGAAAGTCAGAAGAATGAATGTTATAAATCTAGTGTCAAATTATCTAGTTCTTCGTCCTCGCATCAGGATAATAAACCTCAAACACAACTCTCCAGTATGATTTTTATATTCATTATGGTTTGTTTATCAATTATATCTTTCTTCAATATTAAATTTATATTTTAGAAGATATAAGTGGTACAAATCGACTTATGTGTGTTAATGAACGATTAGGACGCAGTTCTTTACATGACTACAAACCACCACGGCCACCTCCTCCTAATTTTAGTAAACTGCAAAATAAAAAAGGTTGGTTGTTAGAGTTAACAGTTAATAGTTAATTTATGACATTTAATCAGTAGATATCTTGTTAAAAAAAACAATAGTCTCTTTACTATTTATATTTATAATTAGGGCCTGATTTATTTCAATTTTTTTTTAAATATGTTTACTTTAATGTATTTATATGCAAAATCAAATACTACTAATTATTAACTATTATAGAGATATATTATTATTTTTTATCTCATCATAATGTTAATTATAATATCAAACATTTCCATCATCAATTTTCAAGACTTAGAAATGCACTTGCGTATCAATATAATCATCATATCATCATTAATGCCATCATATAATTTCGTTTTAAAATAGGCTTAACTTCCTATGCAAAAAAAGTAATTCACCCTTTGAATCATGAATAGAGGTCGGATTTTTCAGATTATACATATTTGTTTCTAGTCCACTTAGTTAAATTGGGATGAGATATATTTACAATATATGAAACACTGAATTCACAGAAAAAAATTTATTTTGCATAAAAAAGCATATTTTAGGGGTTAGAAAATATTTGAGAATATTTTATAAACATTATTATTCTTGAAGGTTTTATTTTGTAAATATTTTTTTCAAAGAAAATAATTTATATTACCTATTATTTGTTTGCACATCCATGCAAATATTACATACATCGGCATTTTGATAATATTGATCAACAAATACAATATTCACAATATGAGTTATTTTTATATCCTTGGTTGTTACAAAAATTAATCACTAGATATTAGGGGTAATCCATGTACGGTTAAAATTTGCATTAAAACCAATTTATTTTTTATTTTTTTCAAAAATGTTATTATTAATCAAATTAATAATAACATTTAGTAATGGATAGATTTAAACCAAGTAATAAAATAATTTTTTTTTTTTTACAAAATATTCAAAGAATATTTGTATTTTTAAAGAATATAGAATATATTGCTTTTTTTAAACAACATAAAAACATTATATTTTAAAGATTTTAAGAGAATATTAATCCGACCTCTAGTAATGAATAATGGGTAATGATAAATGATGTATCTAAATTTTTAATTAAAATTGCTGCTAGTAATACATTTAGAATTTTACATTTGCTCATAAATCTGGGCCTTATTTATAATATATATATATTATCTACTTCTTAGTTATAATAGCTTAATAAAATATAACCTGCATGAGTAATTGGTTTAATAATAAATTTATTTAAAATATGGTATTTTGACATTTAAGTTTTTTTTAAAAAATAATTTTACTTGTGTCCAGTGGCGCCGAACACTTACTTTTGTAGAGCAGTTCGCCCCTTCATTTAACTATGGTGGTAAGGTATCTGGTGTTTGGGTAGGTGTGAAGTGGGTTGGGTAGATAAATTTACACTCTAGTTAGTAAATCTTAGGAATGTACAAATTAAGTGACAGTCGATCTGTAGATGATAGGATACTATGATACGATAGAGTAATCTGCCTATCGATGCATGTTCTTATACCATATTAAGTATAAAAACGTACATTGACATTAATATCAATTTCGCACACATGATGAAACTAAACACTTTTTGGTTCTCAGTGTTTAAAAGTGATTGTACAGGATGCAAATACATCTTTTAAACATTTTAAGGTAATTACTTAAATTACAGTTGTTTAAAAAATGGAATAAATGGCTTTTTGTTTTATTTCTTTAATTTTAATAACGTATTTAATATTTAATTAATTAAACCTATATTTATAAAAGTTTCAAATTGATATTAAATGTTTTTTTCTAAAACCACTATGGATTAGGTATGTGTAACTATAAGTAAGGTAAATAGGTAATAATTAATACCTAATTTATAATTATCATTTTCAGTCTGTGTGATTATTGATTTATGAGAAAATACAAGGCATTTTACTCGATCATAATTTATATTATTATTATTATGTGCTGTTTTAAGTGGCACATTTAACAATAAATACATTTGTATTTTAAAATAGACTTAATAGTGCGGGCTGTCAGTTATAACCCCCTACCCCCCCTGGATACGCCATTGATGAATAGTACCTACCTAATAGATGAAATTGGAATGATAAATTTCGAGCGAAAGGAGTGACTTTATGATGGTTAAATTTACAATATTTACAATGTCATTCAAACATGTAACCTGTCATTATTATGCTCTAACTTTTTGGGTGGTGGTATTAACAAATTTTTATACTTTGCACCACCAAATAGAATACAAGTCGGCGCCACTGCATGTGTCTATAACATAACATCCAATAATTGTTTTTTAAGCATTTATAGCATTAGATAAGCTTCAATTATTATTTATATTGCCCATCTATGTTTAATATTAATTTAAAATATAACTTTTGTGTTTGATGAAAAAATATTGAATCAATTTGAAAACATATATTTTAAAGATCAATATTACTTATAATAGTTACTATTCACTGTGAATAAAATTAATTAATTCTGAATGAAGTATATACATAGTCTTGTATTAAAAATTTTACTATTGTAAATATTAATTGTATTTGTGTATTCTCAATTTAATGTTGTAGCTTATAATTTTTGAATCATAGTTAAGCTAATAATGAAAATGCATATTTAACAAATTTAAAGTATACCATTTTTTTTTTTTTTTTTTTGTTAATGTAACAATGAACGTTTGAATAGTTTAAATTTAAAAAGAGCTATTATACCTATAGTATTTATTTATCAAAACATGGCATTGAAATGTTCAGTTTGTTAGAGCCATAGTTACTTACAACAATAACTGACAGTACATTACGGTAAAATAGTTTTGCCCTTTTATTCGACATATATCTACATTAAACATAGTAATTATAAATGTAAATTCTTTCATTATTTTTATTTAAGATGCATCAGTATCTCGGTAGATAATTTGAATTATGATATAAAGTAATATTATTTATTCAATGAATTAGTTTGTTTTAAAAATAATTAAATTGTATTTTTTGAAGTATTTCAATTAGGTTCTAAATACTATATTAATGGTTGATAACTATATACTAATTCAGGTACATAATTGTTAATTATTTTTATTTTTATGCATGCAAATAACCTACAATTTTTTATATTCTTGTTATTAAATTAAATAATGACATTAAAAATTGAATATAGTATAATAGTAAAAAAAAAAAAAAAATTAAATCATTTAGTAAACAAGAATATTTTTAATGTAATTGAAAACATTATTATGTTGGTTATTAACCTAAATTCAATTTTATAGTATTTAATCTTTTATATATTTTAATGGACTTCCTTTTATATATGCATAATGGTAAGAGTTTGTTATTCATGTTGCTGCCTTGTTAAATTTAAATGCCATTAATATTTCACTATGCACTAGACTTCTATCGTTTATAATTTTTCTTTACTTTTTCTTTATAACTTTTATTATTTTGTATCGCTTTGGATTAAAGATCAAAATTAAATTTATCTTACAGAATTAACGATGTTGTTAGTTATCAATCCTCAAATGTTTGCACCATTTTCTTCATTATTTTCTTTACATTCAGAAATGTATGACTATTAATTAATTTAATCTATTTTATTCAGTATTTTATCAATGATTGCTAGCAGTCCAAATAATACTCGAAAATAACTATGCATGCAATGATAAAATGTTTCAATTCTTAAGTGTATCTAGTTGCTTATTTACTTAACACTGTTTTATAGCATGTTCAACACTTGTATTTATTGTTTAGTAATAACTATTTGATAACTCAAGTATTTTTTTTTTTTCTGAAACATTTACTATATCACTACTTGATAATAGCATTTACCTATCTCTTTATAAAAAATGTATTAAAGAGTTAGTGTTTTTTATTATTTCAGCTTATTTATTATTTTTTTTTTTTTTTTTTTTTATTTATATTTTGTGTGTTGGTTGCTTTTGTTGTTGAATCCTGTCCCATATTAAACAAATAGTGTTCTCTGAACAAACTATGGACAGAAGTTGCCTACATCATTGTTTTTTGTCAGATGTGACCGATGTCAGACAAATGGAGCAAGCCCTTCAACAACTACTCGAAGACTTTCATTCTGGAAAATTACGTGCATTTGGTAAAAATTAGACTATATTTATTTATAAAATGAATGGCGAATAATTTGTTAATTTATAATAAGTTAATTTTTATTTTAGTCACTTTGAATTTTTAGTATTAATGCATTAATTTTTTTAATGTTTTTTTTATTGAAAACACGATTAGCTAAAAAATAAATTACAAATACTTAACTAACCCTTATTTGTACACAATAACACTATTATTTTGACTTAACTATAAAAAAAATAATACTATATAAATAATACCTGACAAATAATGACAAAGAAACCAATAAAATATAATTTATAATTTGTAATTTATAATCTATTATAACATTGAATAATATGCTGTGATGTAATACATTATTAGTGATGATTATTTAATAAAACATTTATTCGTTAAATATATTATTTAGGTAAAGACTGCAGTATGGAGCAAATGACTGCTATCCGAGAACAGCAGGAACATTTGGCGTGGTTGCATTTTGAATTGGGCGTGAGACAGGATGGATCCACACCTCTCAGCGAACAAGGCATCGCAAAAGGCACAGAAAACATGCACTCTCTAATGGCTAGCCTGGAACAGCTGTCTTTATCCATAGAGAAGTTACATTCATTCAGCAATTCAACTTTCGATTGAAACACATAACATTTGTCTAATCCTTTCATTGGTACATCAATAATGACTACTCTGTACATAGTGGAAGGAATTCATACAAACAAAATAATAATAATAATTATAATAATATTGCTCATATACCAATCATTCCATGGAAAATTTTACCAAATTATCAATTATGTAATTTTTTTCTTTCTTTGTTAATTGTTAAATAAATATGAATTTTTATAATTGACTACATTCGTTTGAACAATGAGTGCAATGCCTCATATGGCGATAACATTCTTGTAGATCCTATGCTAACTCTGATGCCGCAGTTTTTTGTTGCTTCACAAATAGAATGCACTTCATGTCCACTTATACCACCAATGATGAACACAATGAGATGATCACAATCCAGTGGATGTTTGTTGACTGTGTTAATAATTTTACTAGAGAAAAAAAAATGGTTTTCATAACGTTTTAAATGTTTATTTAAACCAACGTCATAGTGCAAAATTACTAACTTGAAGCCTATTTTAATGAAATCTGTAAGGCCATCGGACTTGGTTTTTAAAACTGGTAAATTCGGTCGCATTGGACTACACACATCATCCATCAGTTGTTTGACAAAAGAACTGTAGCTCGCTGGTGCATAAGTGTTTTCTTTTACAAATAGTTTTCTGTAAACAAAAAATTAAAAATTTATCGATCAATGTCTAGTAAAATACCTCATTTCAAATGTTTTCATAATTAATATGTATAGTGAAATTATCAGGCCCAATATTACATCAAAGTTGTTTTATAGTTTTTGTATAAATGAGATAAACGTGATGATTATTTTTTATTTATTTATCAATGAATCAATTTACATTTCCCGTTATAAGTTCTTAACATAAAATAATTTTCAATAAGAGAATAGCAGTGAATCACAATTTACATATTGTTTTCATACGTGCAACTAGACGTGAGAGTTTAGCCCCACAGATATCTGTAAAGCCCTTTCAAATTAAAATTAATGAAGCTTAGACTTTTTTTTTCATTAATTTAATTTTTAATAAAATCGAAGTAGGTACTTATAGAGTTTATTATTTGACTACATTAAAATATTATCAACATAATTAATAAAAATAATTTAGTTGAAAGGAAGAAATTTTCACAGAAGTATCATTGGAAGAAATTGAGAGGACTAGTCTTGCACACATTTGAACATATACTGTATAGAAATGAGCTAATGAGGGATCGTATCCTGTAAGTAAATCAGTAAAATACCGATATCCAGAAATCGCAGGCCTATAGATCGGTAATATCCGGTTGCTTTTGATCCCTCGAATGTAAACTCTAGTAACGCCTATGATTGTTAATACAGTAATATCAATTACGATATTTCAATTTTCTACTTCACCGCTGCGTTATGAACTATTGTCCTCGGATGGAGAAACGTAGTTACAACGACAGTTTTTATTATCAATTTCAAGTGTTATCAGTAAAACAAACGTACACACACCACGAAGATATACGTGTGCTTATCTTGACTCGTGGTACACACAAAACAAAACCGTACAAAATGCATGATAATAACTAAATAACGTATTTGAATCTGAAGTCAAATGAAATTTCAGATAATCGAAATAAAATTTGTACGAAAAGCGTTTAAAGTGTTAACTTAATACGTGCACATATTTGTTTGTATTTATTTTAATTTGCAAGGAAAATTAGGTCAGAAATGTTCCCCACGAGTACTCAAAAAAAAAATTGGATATTCAAAGATGAGTCGGATTTGAACGCACTGCGTGAAGATGCTAATCAGCAGTTCATCAACAGATTTGGGTCGCACATGAGTCCGGAGGAAAGGAACACGTTCTTCTTGGACGTCAACGAGGAGCACATAATACAGAAATGTCACGAGTATATACTGAGAGACTTTTGCCACAAGTTTCAGCCGCCCATGCCGAAATACGTGTTCGCGACAGCACTGAATTACCTTAAACGATTTTATCTGTACAACTCGGTCATGGACTACCATCCCAAAGAGATAATGGTCACATGTTTGTTTTTGGCGTGCAAAGTGGACGAGTTCAACGTGTCACTTGCTCAGTTTGTGGCTAACATCAAGGGCAACCAGTCACGAGCGACCACTGTAATACTCAACAATGAGCTGTTCCTCATGGAACAAGTGAAATACAACCTTAAGGTGCACCATCCGTTTAAAGCTATCGAAGGCTTTCTTCTAGATATCAAAACAAGAACGCGAATGTCAGACCCAGAGCGCATGCGTTCACACATTGATAGTTTCATTGATAAGTTACTGTTTACGGATGCATGTCTATTATTTGCACCATCTCAGTTAGCACTGGCTGCAGTACTTCACTCCGCCAGTCAAATCAAAGAAAATCTAGATTCCTATGTAACAGATTTACTATTAGGGGACACAGGATCAGAGCATTTAAAAGATCTAATAGAAGTTGTCAGAAGGATAAGGATATTACACGTCAGAGTAGCTGATGACCACACAAAAGAATTATCGCGTATTAGTAAAAAATTGGACAAATGTCGAAATCAAGAAAACAATCCATTCAGTGATAAGTATAAAGATAGAATACAAGAAGCATTAAATAATTCTATGTAGTAAAAATGCATTCTCTTTTTATTTGTTTGAAAAATTATTTAATTTTATTATAATTTATTTGTAATTCATAAATAAGATCATAGTTTAAACTTGTATTATTCTTCTAATACTGAGTAAAATTCATTTTTTTGTCAAAAGATATCAATAGACCATTTATATTATTATTGTATATTGAAAATTAATATAAAGAAAATATGAAATATGTTAAGATCATTTTTCAAACATTAATTAAACCTTATTAAATAATAAACTATTTTGAAGTTTTACCTAAACAAATTTCTGTAAATGTTGTACTTCATTATTTAAACAGGAATTAATGTGAAGATTTTTAAAACAATAATCATGTTAAGACCTATGGTATCCTCGATGGGGGGGGGAGTTCCTTCCATGGCTTCTTTTCTTCAAATGTTTATTATTTATATTATACTGGAAAAATTTGAAAAGTACACTGTTAAATCTATAACCATGTGTCGGATGCTCTATATGACATGCACCTCAAATGAAACCAGGTTAACTACCTAGTATATATGAAGTTCTCCCCCTCCCAATATAAAAAGATCTAAGGACATCACTGGTATGGGCTTAAAAATATACATACAAATCAGTTTACTTTTCTTATGGATAAAGTTATGATTCAAATTTTACTATTGTGTTTTTTTTAAATAACCAAATAATTATTATTATATTATTATATTCATATTATATTTAATCTTTTATTTATATAGTCATTTAATTTTTATTCATTTATCATTATTTGTAAGCATTTGTATCTATTGGTATGTGGTTTTTTTTATTTAGATTAAATTTAATGTATTATAAGAGTAGAGGAAAAAGTTGAGTCCTCTTTTGTTAAAGTCACAGCTCTCAGTATGAGAAGAACTGTTCTATAACATGTATTAAACTAAAGTATAATCTATGGCATTTAATATATAAAAGTTGATAGGATGTTACAGAGTTTATGATGAGTAATATTTGTAACCAACTAAATATGTTATTAAAACATCAGTTTCTAATAAAATTATTATTTCAACACTTATACAGAATTTATAGAAATAATGTAAAATAATTTAAATATTTTGATTTGCAACAAATGCATCAATAAAATAATATAAATATTTTAATGAGTATCAAAATAAATTTAAATAATGAGGACAGTCAATAATATTTCAAAATAATATAGTACTTTAAGTTTCTACAATGCCAATAAACGGTATTGTTAATGTAAATTAATATTAGAAATTGTGCTGAAATCCAAAGTAAAAAACCTGGTTGTGTAATGTTATTAATTGATATCGAACACCAAAAACACTAATCACTTTTATAAATACTATCTTTGAATGAATATTTTATATTACAGGTACTGTAAAACATTATACATTCAGTTTTTTCCTAATTTAAAATGTATTTTGATTTGAATTATAATAAATGCATATAATTTAAACAAGAATTTACCTGTACTGAACAAAATTCTGTCTTGATGACTTGATTTGATTTAAAATAAAGATAAAATTTTCAGCAGCTTGTTGGCATGCTAGTGGCGTAATTGAATTGACTCCTAAATATTATTTAATTAGAATATTATAATTCCACAAGAATTAATAAGTTATGTTTTTGTTTTAACTATACCTATAAAATCTTTAATAATATATTCAGGTAAATATTTTAAGTCATCATAAAAAGCTTCACCAAGCATATTTTCTAAATTTATCTGATGTTCATCTGATATTTGAAAATCTTCTTCGACAACTGAGTACAGTTGAATTAAAATACACAAGAGGATTTCGAGTGATAGCTTTCTATCTTTTCTTGTTTTAAATAATTGACCAACCTGATTAAAAAAAAAAAATAAATAAATAAATAAATAAAATAATGAAGGAAAAATAACTAACTAATTATTAAAATTTAAAAATTATCAATATACTTGTGTCAAAATGTCAATGTCACTTTCCAATGAAATATTTTGTAATAATAGTTTACCAATATTTTGAGCAAGTTCAATTTTTGAGAGATTTGAGGATTTCAAAGCAGCACATATACATAACACTTGCTAAAAATATTTTGTTTTATTAAAATATTAACAAAGAAATTTACATATATATTAATTACCATATTAAAAAAAAGTTAAATTAAAAAAAAAAAAAAATCATTAAATTAAATAATTATTATTTTTGAGAAAGGTTATAATTTTTTTTCAATTATTTTATTTTATATATTTGTTCTTAACTTATTAATCAAAATAATACTATAATAATTTTAACTTTACAATATTTAAAAAAGAATATACAAATTGTTGTGATGAAAATTGTGGCCATAATTTTTACTTAAATGAAAATGTTGGTTATTACTAGACCGCGGATTTTATGCATTTGCATATCTGCATATGCAATTGCATATAATTACCTTTTTTTACTAAGTATGCATATCTCATTGATTCTTGATGTAAATGGCATATTATTATTATATTTTCAACAAGAAACACACTGATTGAATGTATTAAAATACATACTACATTTATTTTTTTTTTATTGACATATAGTTCATACCGACCGAACTAATTGACTGGACAAGTTTCTACTGCCGTCTTTATGTATAAATAATATATCGAGCCTAGTCTTTAGACTAGAAAAACTTTTGTCTAGTCTTTTTTTTTTCTTATTAATCTAATTGGTAATCAACCAATTTAAAAGTTCTGATGCCTTATCAATCTGTGATACCAAGGAAGCATTTGAAACCCTGTCATTACAACACAATTTAAATATGATTTATTCACATTTCTCTAAAATACCAAAACTAACTAAAAGCCTAGGAGCAAGAAATTTGCTACAACACAATTCGTTAAAAGTTATGGAGAAATTGTTGTCAACAGCAGCTGGACTGCCTGACGTATTTTCAGAAAAAATCAGAACAAAGATTACTTAATTACTGAACAAAATGCCTGCCAATGATTCGCTAAGTATGATCGATGCTTACATTGATGGCACAAGTAATGTACTTCCCGACACAATAACGAGTAACATAATTTCTACATTTAAATACTGCACTGTGATGTTGAGCGGTCATTTTCTGCTCTTAAATTTATTTTGGATGACAATCGCCATAATTTTCAATGGACTACTTGGAGCAATATTTAGTGATATACTACTATGAGAAATATAGTTCTAAATAAATATACATAAATGTAATATAATAATTATTTATGATAATACATTTCATCATCATAATTTTTCCATTTTTTTTTTTTTAATTTAATTTTTAGCACATATTTTAACATAGTCTATGCATATTTTTGTATTCTATGATGCATATTTGCATGAATATAATAGAGTATGTTTAGAGTAACGCGGTCTAGTAATTACTTATTATTCAATCATATGTCTAAAAATAGTATTTTTTTACATGTTAGAGTTAATTGATAAAATAATTATTTATGATTTAATTATATTTACTTGTTTTAAATCAATATTTTCTTTGTTATTAAACTTTTCGTCAGATAAAATGGTTTCAAAGAGTTGTGGTGTAATTCTGGATATAGTTTTTCGAACGGGTCCTGAACATTTTTCAGTTAATACTGTTCGTATGTTTGCCAATACATTTTTTTCATTTTTAGTTAGTAACCATTCAACTACTGGAGTAGGCTTCAAGGTTGGAGCCAAACACATTGGTACTTCTAATTGATCATTGACTTCCTTGTACCTTAAAAATTATATTTAAATGGTAAAATACATTTTGAATGTTTGGTACTCGCCAAATAAATATAATTAAAACAATTCATTTAAAAATGTATAGCAAATGAATTTTTTCAAATTTAGATAAAATACTTTGAACAGCAGATTCTCATTATCTTAACTATAAGTGGAATAAAAAAATGTTTAAGACGTCAAACAATTTAAGACATTACATTTTATAACGTACAATTAGTACAGTTTAATTCAAGATATCAGCATTTAACATAAGAAAAATCTATTATATAAAGTTTAATAAAATTCATTATGACAGTTGTATTATACATTTAGGTGTGACTTTAAATGAAATATTATTTATACATTTGTTTGGAAATACTTATATAAACATTAATTTTATAATATGCAGTATATAATGTAATATACATTTATACAACATACTTTGAGTCTTTTATCAAAGGTTCAGTAGTGACTGCAATATCTGAACATGTTTTGGGGAATCTATTCAATAACATGCTCATTTTGTCTAACAGACAGCTAGATGCAAAATCAGTAACAGCATACATATCAATTATTCTATCAATAAGTATTACATTAACACGACTCAAATCTGAATTTACTGACTAAAAAAAAAAAAAAAAAAAATTATGCATGGAAATATAATATTATAATATTTATATATTTATATTAATAATCGTTTTATACTTTCTGAATTTTAGAAAAATGATGAGATACAGCTTCACTTAAAGGTCCAATGGAATAAATGTCATGTCTTACATTCAAATGGTCAAATATGTTATTTAAAGTGGCCGAAATTTTTGATACATAATTTTGATAGTTATTCTACAACATAATTATGTTTAATATCATAATTTACAGTATATACAATATAATCCATTATTAAAAACATAACTATACCTCTATAAGTATAGGAATATCTTGAAGATGAGGAATTAAAAATAATGTAGGAGATAAGCAAGTCAATGAAATTGGTATATCCATTACATCCACAGTTCCATCCTGAAATACAAAAATATAATAATAATATACCTATAGTAATAATTTTTTATTTTCAATGAATAAAACAAGAAATAATTGTTTATTTTTTTTTTTTTTTAAATAAATTCATTAATATTTTACAATCTAGTGGAAATTTACCTCGTATTTGGATGAAACGGTTTTGCATAGTTCATTTTCTAACTTTTCAATATCATAAGATTCAAACCCACACCCAGCTATAAAGCGGCAATACTTGAAATTACTGTTGTTCAAAACATCTCTAACAATTGTAACAGTCGATTCATCGACTGGTTTTCCAACAATCAACAAACATCTACGATCTTTTGGATGACCACTCTAAAATTATAAAAAAAATGCAAATCATACAGTTAGAAATTATTATATTTATAGTCACTTAAGTACATGGTCGAACCTCGAACGAAGACAATTCTTTGACACTTTTGGCACCAGCTCGATAAAGAAGTATGCAACCACCATGCCAGTGAAGAGACTCAGCAGCGTATTCGTCCAAGAACACCGCAGCTTCTCTAGCATATTTACACGCTTCGTTCCAAGACCAATCGGCTATCACGGAGAACGGAGTGTCCACGTTGAACGCCATCGAACTTCTACCGGGTTCTGGTGTTCTGAAAAGTCAAACGTCATTTTAACCGTTGCATTGGTCGCATCATAGCGAATTCCGATCATTCATACATTTTATTTTTATGCTTCCAGTCGATTTTCTTTGATTTCAAACCGTACTAGCCCACGGCCAACAGAACATCATAGAACACGCCGAGGGGATGACTCACGGATCACCTGTTTTCAACACGCTTAACAAAAACTAATATTGTTTTAATTGTAATGGTCGGTGTTATTTATTTACTTTTTGAAATGTTATCAGCTTCAACGTCACGAATATTATTACTATAAGCACAATCGCATCGTCGACCGAATTGTTATCATGAGAAACGTGTTCATTTCACCGGTAGTCAGCGCCAACGGTACTTGTTCCACGAGTTAATCATTTTAATAAACTTCCGTGGTGTAGTGCACCTGTTGGCTTTTGCATTTCTTTTCCCCCTTTTTACGCAACACGATGTCCATACACGCTAAATCGGTCGTGTAAGAAAACCGTTTGAATCGTATCTGATAACGTAGACTTCTGACCTGTGTCAAGCGATTCGGTCATTTCGGTGATCACTTAATTTTTTTCGTTCCGATTGTTCAGAATGAAAACGTCGCACGCGAGACCGAAGATCATATCTAAAGGCATTGGCGGATCGGTGGGGGGGGGGTTAACCTCCCTCCCAAATCAGGAAAAATATGTATTAAAAATCAATAATTTTCATTATCATATTTATAATAGGAAAATATTTTTCATAAGCCCTCCAAAAGAAAATCCTGGACCCGCCACTGGCTAAAGGTGTTAGTACACAGTGCAGTTTGTTATGGAAAAAAAGGTTCGAGCGCGGCGTTTATATTTTGTATTCTTGCATATGAAAGTGTTGCATGCCGGCGATCATAAGCCTGAGAATGGAGAAAAATTAGGATCACTCTATTTAGGTAAAACCGAATACATTATTAAAATTATTACGAGAGTTATTATAAACATCGGCGTGGGTGTGACCCTTGTAAAAGGTTCCTGACCGTTTGATTTGAGCGGCTTCGGAGAGAGATTTGTTTTCGACAGTCATTATTATTTTAATTTCTCTTTGGGCGGACCACTCGGAACAGGCTCGATCGGTGGCAATGGTCTAACTTACAATTAAAGCATTGCGGTGAAGTTGATAAACGATTTTCACAAGAATCGACGCCATGGTTGAAATCGTCGCAGTGACTACACCGTTGCTTGCTACTATCTTTGGGACGCAACTAGTACGTAGCCGAATCCTCGGCGTCAACAAAATAATCGGCAACCATGTGTCTACTTTTTTAAATTTTCAAAAGGAAATCAACGTCGATGGGGTGCAATGCAATCATGTAGAGGATAAATGACCTTTCCGCGTAAATAGAATTTACAGGTATAAATTTGAAAGCTCTTAAATCAACAGAACTGAAGCGATTGGCATACGACTGGCGCAGTCAGTTATTTCAAGTATAATTTTTAACAGATTTAACGACGATAACGGGGATTTTTTCTAAATAGGCGAATATTTAACAAGAATATGTAATAAGGGTAGAAATATGCAATAATATGTAAAGAACCTCAAATGATTTTTCTACGATTTATTTTGTTTAAAAATTGAATCTATAGTTGTAACTATAACGTAGCAGTTATTGTATATTATATTTATTTCAAAAAACAACACAACATTTTTAATTACTTCAAAAATAATAAAATTATAATGAAATTGAATGTGCAGCAAATGTGTTTAATACAGACACTATTAATCATAATTCACGCCATGAGTTTTAAGCATGTTTCAATTTATTTAAAATATGAACACTTGTATAGATATGTGAATATATAATGTAGGTATTTAGCGGTAGCGCCGAACGTGCGCTTTTATGGGGCGGTTGACCCTTGTATTTAACAATGTGATTTTGATTTTATTATACACTCATTTTATCGATTATTATTTTGCATTAACTTAAATGAGTGGTGGTGATAACTAATTTGAATACTTTGCCTCACCAAATGAAATACAAGTCGGCGCCATTGGTATTTAGTATACTGTAATACAGAATTATTGTATAGTTTTTACTGCATTACAATTAAATATTAATTAATTATTAAATAGGATTATTTTATTATATGATGTGATCAGTGACTACCAGTTCTGTGCATAAGATTTACTTAAGACCCGGTTAGGTTAGGTGAATACTGTTCATTGATCAGTGATCAGTATAACGAGGTGGTAGTGGGACACGATTTTCACATTGATAATTGTTATGATTTATTCATTAATTTTAAGATCACAAACAATATTTTAAATACATATTACGGCTTTTTTTTGTTTATAAATTGATTTCATAATTTCCTAGAACGTAGTAGAAAACTATTAAACTAGTATTACTCTAAGTTAATATCGAGCATTGAATTTCATGGAAATATTATGCTACAGAGCAGGGGCGGGCAAATGGCAGTCCACCGGCCACGTCTGGCCCGCGTTTTTTTTTTATCCGGCTATTGCAATATTTTCAAATTACTTCATAACTTTTTAGCGTTTATCGGTATTTCATTTTATTACGTTGATCGTAAAATGTAAATATTATACTCTTATCTATTATTGAACTGCAGCTAAATTATTAAATGTCTAAATATGATATATGTCCATATCAGCATAGCTAACATAGCTTTAGGTATCTGGTAGGTACTTATTTTATTGTATTGGTTGCGTTCAGTCGTAAAATAAAATTATATAAAGTAAATTCTAATTGTCAATTTTAACGACCTTTTCATTTTTTATTTTTTTGCTTTCTTTTTTCTGGCTCGCTGCTATAAATTAGTTCTCTAATTAATTCGAGTTTCCTATACCTGCTATAGGGCGTTGGAAGTATAGAATAGTTACTTCCGGTAATGGTAGTACATTAGCTCTGTTATTATCATGTTGATCAATAATACCCTTTGGTAACAGTAATAGTATTATTGAAAAGTTTGAATACTTAGAACATTCATTACGTATAATATAAGCGTTTATCTAAGACATTCAAATAAATATTTAAATATATTATAGCCATAGTTGTAGGCGATCAAAGAATTCTTGTAAACTCTTTCTAATAAGTAGTGAGAGAATTTAATTTGTATATTAATTATTATTATGCAAAAGAGCAGTTGTACATAAGATAAGTTAGCAAATATATAAAATATTTGAAATTTACTATTGATATATTCATATCAGGTATGTGTTGGCATTAATTTTAAATTTCAATATCAATGTTATCGAACAATACATTCCCGTCAAATAGAACGAAGTCTTGTTCAGAATCATAATTTTGGTCGCGAAAATGCTATTTATTATCATAGTTTCAGAAAATTTACTTTGGTTATTGTTTTGAATTTATTTTATATTATAAATAAAGTGATCAATAAATTATTATTTCCGATTTTAGTTATTTTAGCTTTTTCATATAGAGCTTATAATGTTCATATTTATTTCAATATATCATTAAGGTCACACACCAAAAGAACAAAACTGTGTTAGTCATCGTTAGTCATTTTTGTTTAAAGTCAACTAAAAGCAATTTATTTTACTTATTTAATTAATCACGAACTAATGAAGTTTTAATACGAAATGTGTATGTTAAAAATATAATTTTAGTTAATTGTAGTTTCTTTTTGTGAATTAGGTAATCGAGTACCTATAATTTTGGGATGAAAATAAAGTTAACAATGAAAGTTATATCAAATCAACTAATCAATGTTGTAAATCTAATATTTATTAGGTCTATCTAAATTAAAATGTTGATAAAGTTTCTATCACTGGTTTATTAAAAACCACCATTCTGAATTTTATTTTTACATCTATTTATCACGGATTTATTTTAATTATTTATAAATCTAAGTTCTGGATATATGACATAAAAAATTCATCATATTATAGTAACATTATATATATTATAATCTACGGCAGTTAATTTGTAATTTTTATTTCTGACACTAATTTCTAAATTTTATTATTGCATACTGTCGTTAAACATGTATACATTTTAGTTATTATTTAAAACAATTTTTGAGTAATAAATTATTCTATAATACACTTCTCATTTTAGATGTAATTACTATTGGAATCAAAATATTTCATTTTGTTCTTTATAAATTGACTTCACGAATGTTTTAAGATTAAAATTAGCAATATTTCTTACCTCCATCGGAATATCGTTAACAGTATTTTTTTTTATTTTTTTTTATATATTGAATTATTGTTTTAAAATTAGCTAACTTAGTTAATTAATTATTTATTTTGTATTTTGATTAAGTAGATTTACTGTATATGTTTTATATTTTTTTATTTGTCTCGTAAGTTGTTGTAAATCAAGGAATGTGTGCCTAAATCATACTTTCAGTTATGGGAATGGTTTATATAATAATTATAATTATAATTATTATATGGCAAAAGTGAAATTATTGTATTTTTACCATATAAACTTTGTAGTTAAAAGTAACCTACTTGAATACATCTACTTCATATTTAATTTTAAAATCATTCGTATTTCGTAAGCATGGGAAGTTTTAATACTCAATGAATATGGTTGATTTTGGTTGATTTACGAAATGTATTCATTTTTATAAAGCTATAATAATATTATATACTATATATTATTTTGGTTAATTTACGAAATGAATTCATTTTTGTAAATGCATAACTATAATATAATATTAAAGTAATATAGTAGACTCTAATTAAGTAAAATATAACTCAAAAACTTATATTTCCAAAAAAAAACTACGTTCTGAAATACAATAAAGTATAATCAGAAAATCATCAGTTTTCCTTGATGCTTATTAGTGTCATTTACTTGTTATAGAAATATATTCTTCTTTGTAAAGTAATATTCGTAGTCTCTCTAATTTTGTTTGAATAATATTAATTTGAAAGACCACGGACTTTATGTGGTGGTACTGTTGTTACTGGGGGTGGAAAGATAATGACGGTTATGGAGGGAGTTTTTATAGGAGGCGTGTCTTCAACAGGTGGTATACTCGGGCTTTAAGAGCTTTTCCGCAGACACACAGAAGCCAGTCGTCAAAATAAAATTGACCGGAGCTTTGTCGTGCACTTACTCATAGACTAAAATTGTTATTGAAAAAGACGTAAGTTAATTTATATTAATATATCATGCGTACATATTTTACTGTTAATTTAAAATGTTATTTATGTAATGTACTTGATTGCATGGCTATTAAAATTATTATTCGAATATATTTTTCTTTCAAATCATAAAATTATGAATTTTTATTTCATTTGATTATATTTTTAGGATTTTATAATATACAATTTATATTTACTTAAAAAATACAAGCATAAGTATTATTATCATTCTTTATTTCATTGATTTTATTACTTCTGTAAAATATGAGACATGAACTCGAGAAACTTTTAAAGGAAGCATTATTTTAAAATAATAGATATTTGATATAATAATTTTTAAATTTAGTATAATAAATAACGAAAATTCATTTTTTTCTTCTAAATTCTAAATTTGAGTTTTTTATTTTTAAATTAACTTATAATATTTGTATTTTAATCAAGTTCTTAGATTTTAGAATCACTATTATATAATTATTTATTATATATTTGTATGTAATATATAATAATTATAATGAGAAATAAATTTTTTTTATTAAAATCAACTTTTTAAATTTCAATATTTTACGTTTGAATTGGCTTTAAATAAAATCTCACAAATAAAAAATATAATGTAACCTCTACTTTGCAGTCAATCGAAAAAAATATTTTGAAATTTTGAATTAATTTTATAATTGTTTTATTATTTAACTTTTATTTTGCTAAGGTTAATTTATATTGTATAATTACTCTATAAAACTAAGCTAAAAAACGTTTTACAGACATGCATTCATTCATTGATTAATGATTTATAAATCTCAACGGTCTTAACCTAGTTCAAAATACTATAATATAATGTCAAGTTTAAGAAACTAAATTTAAAGATTATTATTGTTGTTATTATTATTAATATATTTCGTATTATTTTTAATTTTTTTCAAATTTAAAACTAGAATTCCAGAAATTACTTTTAAAAATATACTGTTACATTCATTCAACATAATATTTTCAAATAGATATGATTTAGCATATGTTATACGATGTACATAATATTAATTAGTATATTGTCATATTACTTATTTAACATAATGATACTATAAAGTTTTCCTGAATTACCTAGAATACATGAACATACATTATATTATGAATAAATTGATGCCTTTAATAATTTTAAAATTTATTTTTATTTTTGGAGGGGTGAGGGAGGTAAATATTAAAAACAAAAATTAAGTAAATATCCGATGCAAAAATTGTTTATTAAAGTTGACGACGAAGTATTTTGTGAAGCTTATTTTTTAACTTTTTATTATTTCTTGATAGAAAGAAAAAATTGAAAAAAACTGCTAAAAATTTTGACTTTATACTGGAAAACGAATAATTTTTTTTTAATTATTTTGATAAAACGAAATCATTTTCTTAAAATGATTTAATATTGAGCGCAATATTATTTTATTATGTTCTCGAAGTTGTTAATAAATCTAAAATATCTCAAACACTTTTCTTAATTTTTATTTTTACAAAATTATTTAAAATATTTTTAAACTCTAGCAGACATTTTAAAATTGTTATGATTAACCACTATTTTTTTTTTCTAACAGATTTCAAAGTTTAAAGATATTAATAAATAATATTCATAATTGTTGTAAATATTAATTTTAAAATATTATGCTTATTTTTATTTTAAATTTTGACCAACCGAAAGTTTAATTACAGAAAAAGAAAAAAAAATTATCATTAACTTATAAAATCAATATAAATATATTTATTACTTTACTCAGAATCAAAATATTTAAAATTATTTTAAAATATTAATTCCTATAAATTTAATATTATATAATTTACACAGGATAATACATTTCTTTGTATAAATTAATATATTAAGTACGAATCAATAATTAATTAAGAATTTATGATTCTAGATAATTATATTATTTTAAAATATTTAGTAGTTCCGGAAAAATGTCATAGGACCAAAATTTGTTTGAAATATAACGTGAGGAATACTGGTTCAATGCACTTAATTATTTTTAAATCGTATATTTATTCTAAACACCAGTATATTCGTAAATTACTTCGTCGTCTTCCAGATGCTCTATAAGAAGATTATAGATTATTAGATTATTTTATAATTATTTAATTTTTTTTTTATTATACTCTCGTAGATTATTTTTGAATCTTTATTATAAGGAGAAAAATCTATTGTGTTACTAAGCAATATTATTTTGTAATTTATAAGTATTATATTTATTAGTTTTATATTTAATTGTATAATAGATACATTTTATGATCAATAAGAAATATCTATTTTGAATAACTACAATAATACCTACGTAAAAACAACAAAAATCAAATTTTTTAAAAACTTTAACAATAAATAATTTAATTGCTGTTTTAAGATTCTCTAAAGGAGTATGTATTTACTATATCTTTACTTTTTTACTTATTTAATTTCTCATAGAGAATAAATACATGACTGATATATACATAACATGTACATAATTAACCATTTGATCGAAAACCGAAATAAAATATATAGTTGAGTAGGTAAGTTAGTAAATTTTCTGAACTTTTAATAATAACTAAAATATTTGAAGATAATCTTTGCGTACAATTGTTTAGTTATCTACTATAAAGTTACTTATTCTATCAAAATAAATAAAAATGCTCGGAGAATGTTTTTGCGCGAGAAAATTAAAAAAAAAAACCGTCGTTGCCATTTAAATTCAACTCATATAATGTATTTCCTATCGAAATGTTTTCTATTTTCATTTGATACAGACCTACTACTCTAAATCTTGATTATAGATAAACATGGGATTTTAGTAGAATCATTTAATTTCTCATTTTACTCACAATATGAATATACGTAATAGACTGCGTATCCAATTAAAGTTTTTATTTTTATTAAAACTTTTACCTACTTATTTCTAATTCAGTTTTGAGGGTAAATTATTACGAATTAAAATTTTACTGTAACGGATTCGATAAAAAATATAGATAGATTCTAACCTAGAAAATCACATTTCTATCAGAAATTTTTATTAAAATAGATTTGTTATCTGTGAAGAATATTAGACAAATCATTTTTACGTTGAGTAAACAGGTTTAGAAATGTAGGTACCATAGTTCAAAAAATTTAGTTTATTTATTTCTAATTTATTGCAGCTGCGTTTTATATTTTTCCTAGGCTTATTATTTTTATAATTTGTAAAATCAAGAATGTAATAATTACAAATACATAATAAAATATAATTTTATATAATTATTTATACATACTAGATCATCTTGAATTATGTTAAAATAGCAATTTTAACAAGGTATTGATGTACTAAAGAAGGTATTTATATTAAAGTAATTATGAATATTTAATTTATATGATAAAAGAGACGATCTAAAAAATTAAAACAAAACGTTTATTCAAATTTAGTGATCACTTAATAAAATTAATAACAGCTAAAAAATTATTAGTATGAAATTATAATACAAAAATATTATATATACGTAGATGATATTATAAAATAATAAAGTAACATAATGCAAAAATAAAGTCAATTTTGTTTGTGGAAGTAGAGACACTTTTAACTTTCCCCTCATTAACCCCGTTCAATTAACCCTGTTTACCAGTTATTTCTTGTCAAATTTTAATAACTTATGTAGTCTCGATGTATTTAATATTATTTGATAAATCTAAAAAAATGTTTCAATAAAATATATAACGTATATGGTTTTATTTACTACAAATTGGTAACCTAATAATTTCATTAGTTTTAGTATTCAAAGTCAACGTTTAATATATGTATTTATTTTCAATCAAAATGAAATGCTTTCCACATTTGGTTTAAACTTATTTTATGTTAATATAATAATAATAACTTATAAGCATTCATTTTTTTTTCTTTGATGAATTCATATTATAATAATTAATTTCTTATCGTTTAAAATTAATATTTAGAGTGATTTGAGTAGACAAAAAACTACTACTTTATTTTTAACTGTAAAGTTATACTCGTACATTTGTATACCTTTTATTTTATTTTTATTAAACTAATTTATTTTTTTCATGTGAAACATATACATTTTAATCAAAATAATTTCTGTTTATTCTCACGCATGAATATTATTATATTCCAACTTTTTTTAGTCATAATTATTTACAAAAAATTAAATTTTAGGTAGTGAATTTTTATTTTTATTTTATATAGTAATAGAAAATTACTCGGGAATTAATTTTTGCTTTTATCAAAACTATTCAGTTATTATTATTTTCATAGTTTTAGTAAAATTAAAAAGTAATTATTATAAAAGTTTTGAAATATAATAAAAATTAATCGTTAAAAAAAGAGGAAACTCAATAAACCACAATAATATAGAAATCTTTTATAACTATATTTTTAGAACTCAAAATTAACAATTTATCTAAAAACAAATTTAAAAAAAACCATTAACAAGTTTTGGAAAGCCGAAAAACTTTGGGACATTCGATTTACAAGCCTTCTACGCCTTAAAACGGAAATCAACTATAGGAAAAAATAATTTTATTAAAATATCTGATATGAATTATTTAAATTATCTTAATAAATTAATAAAAATAAAAATAAAATCAAAAATTAGTAAATAGTTAATATTCGTAAATTATTACATGTTTAAATAAATAAATAACTGCTTAACCTGGAGTATTATAATATTTGTAAATTATGTCTGATCACAAATTTTTAATTCATCATCGGTTACCTATATGAAAATTCGATGATTTGCAATTTTATTTCCAAGCATTTTTTTATTTATTTCTGTATACCTCTTAAATTTCAACTACTCCAAAAATAAATTATTAAATACGTGGTTTAATTTTTAATAATTAAGTATTTTGATATGATTATTTTTTGAGTTTCTTATTTATTAAATAAGCTATTTAATATGGACAACTAAGAACATAGTTTGAAATTATGATTTATTTGAGTTTATGCGTTTATCTTTGTTTTTATGAAGAAGAAAAATATTTTTTATTTCTCATAACCAATTAAAAGTT